GATGCTGAATGTTTTCATACTGCGTAGTACATAGTTGCTGATCCCAGAGGGTATTGATCGCTGCGCTCCTCTGCCCCTGCTAACCCCCTCTAGAGCCCGACACAGACAGCAGCCTTCATCTTGTTCCGGAGGAAGTGGAAGGAGCCCTCCCGAAATTATACCCCCAATCTACGTTCACAGAAACAGTAACACATTTTCCACGGTCTAATGCATAAAGCGATCGATTTCTTGTTTACATGCCGTGTTACTATGCGGTGACACGATGATAAACGTTACAAACTATGTGATATCACATCCATTCGTTTTCAGACCAAAATTCAACGATAAGTAAGAATCGTTCATTGTTTTACGTCTTATGATTTCTAAATCTTCGTCACTTTTCGACAAATTTGATGATCCTTGTCACGAAGTTAAAGCAGGTCACGCCTGGCCACGCTCTGTCACGCTTGGGTACGCGTGGTTACTAAGTCACACTTCAGCACGCTTACGTTATGTTAAGTAAGGGTCGGTTAATATTATCTACTTTGCTTTACTTTAGATTAAGTACCGTCATGTTGGGTCAGGTGAGAAAACTTCGCGTAGGAAAGGTTAGGACACGTTGGATTGGGTTAGGTTAGGTTAGGTTAAATTTGTTTAGTGGATTTAGTTAGGTTAGGTAAACTTTTTGAAAATATTTGTGACATTTTGACAATTATGACCAAAATTCGTAACGAAGTTACAGTGCGTCACGCTTTGCACGTTTGGTCACGATTACTCACGCTTTGTAAATACACTTCACGTTTCGCCACTTCTCGTCACATCTCGTCACGCCTTTACAGTAAGTCACGCCTAGTCATGCATTTTCACGCTTGGTCACGCTTGATCAGGCTTTGTAAAACTTCGTCACTTTTCGACACATTTGATGATACCTCTTCACGAGATCAAAGGATGTCACGCCTGGACACGCTTTGTCACGCTTGGGTACGCGTGGTTACTAAGTCACGCTTCGGCACGCTTACGTTATGTTACGTAAGTCTCCGTTAATTTTGGCTAATTTTCAACACGTGAGAATGAGTTTCGACAAGTTTAATTTTGTAAGAAATGTTAAATTAGGTTAGGATGGGTTTGGTTAGGTTGGGTTAGGTTAAGTTTGTTTAATGGATTTTGTTAGGTTATGTAAACTTTTGAAAGTATTTGTGACGTTTTGACACTATGGCCACAATTCGTGAGTCTCTTACAGTACGTAACGCCTAGTCACGCTTTGTCACGCATGGTCACTTTTTGTAAATATGCTTCACGTTTTGACACTTCTGGTCACATCTCGGCACGCCTTTACAGTAAGTCACGCTTTGTCACGCGTGATCACGCTTGGTCACGTTTAGACTCACTTTTCAAATTTTCGTCGTATTTTATCACTTATGTTGACCTCTCGTCACGCCTTTATAGCAGGTCACGCCTAGTCACGCCTGGTCACGTTTGATCTATCTTTGTAAATCTTTGTCGCTTTTCGACACATTTGATGATACCTCTTCACGAGGTCAATGGATGTCACGCCTGGACACTCTTTGTCACGCTTAGGCACGCGTGGTTACTAAGTCACGCTTCGGCACTCTTACGTTATGTTACGTAAGTCACCGTTAATTTTGGCTCATTTTCAACACGTGACAAGTTTCGAGAAGTTTAATTTGGTGAGCAATATTAAGTTAGGTTGGGTTAGGTTAGGTTAGGTTAGGTTAGGTTAGGTTGGGTTGGGTTAGGTTAAGTTTGTTTAATGGATTTTGTTAGGTTATGTCAACTTTCTAAAGTATTTATGACGTTTTGACACTTATGGCCACAATTCGTGAGTCTCTTACATTACATCACGCCTAGTCACGCATGGTCACGCTTGGTCAGTTTTTGTAAATATGCTTCAGGTTTCGACAGCTTCTGGTCACATCTCGGCACGCCATTACAGTAAGTCACGCCTAGTCACGCATTGTCACGCATGGTCACTTTTTGTAAATATGCTTCACGTTTTGACGCTTCTGGTCACATCTCGGCACGCCATTACAGTAAGTCACGCCTAGTCACGCATTGTCACGCATGGTCACTTTTTGTAAATATGCTTCACGTTTTGACGCTTCTGGTCACATCTCGGCACGCCATTACAGTAAGTCACGCCTAGTCACGCTTTGTCACGCTTGGGCACGCGTGGTTACTAAGTCACGCTTCGGCACTCTTACGTTATGTTACGTAAGTCTCCGTTAATTTTGGCTAATTTTCAACACGTGAGAACGAGTTTCGACAAGTTTAATTCGGTGAGAAATGTTAAGTTGGGTTAGGTTAGGTTAGGTTAGTTTAATGGATTTTGTTAGGTTATGTCAACTTTCTAAAGTATTTATGACGTTTTGACACTTATGGCCACAATTCGTGAGTCTCTTACATTACATCACGCCTAGTCACGCATGGTCACGCTTGGTCAGTTTTTGTAAATATGCTTCAGGTTTCGACACTTCTTATCAAATCTTGGGTCGCCTTTGCAGTAAGTCACGCCTAGTCACGCTTTGTCACGCGTGATCACGATTGGTCACGTTTTGACCCACTTTACAAATTTTCGTCGTATTTTATCACTTATGGTGACCTCTCGTCACTCTATAGCAGGTCACGTCTAGTCACGCCTAGTCACGCTTTGTCACGCTTGGTCACCACGAGGTCGGCTTTGTAAATCTTCGTCATTTTTCGACACATTTGATGATACCTCTTCACGAGGTCAAAGGATGTCACGCCTGGACACGCTTTGTCACGCTTGGGCACGCGTGGTTACTAAGTCACGCTTCTGCACGCTTACGTTATGTTACGCAAGTCTCCGTTAATTTTGGCTAATTTTCTACACGTTAGAACAAGGTAGGTTGGGTTAGATTTGGTTGGGTCATCTTTCACTTCTCTCGTCGTTGCTATATGACTTACCAATTTCATTCTCCTTGATTTAATAATCACAATAATATTTGATAAACAATAAAGATTATAATCTTCTCATTATGCCACATTAATCTCCGTCCTATTAGCTTTTTACTCCCCTAAAGAATACTAACTACTTGCTCTTTTAATGTGAAGTGTATTTTCTTTGCGGTACGGACCAAATTCTTGAATATTATTTAGATGAGCTTCGACTTGAAAGGGAACATTTAAGTATTTGGTAATTCATAAATTTGGCGAAGGAAATAGATTGATTTATATTTAAAGTTCAATGTTCTTATTTATTTTATTTAATTCAACGTTAATATTAATCTTGTAAGTACCGCGTTACATTTTATCCAACATCGTTCTGTACCGCTGATGGGTGATTTTGAATTTCAGATATGATGCAAAGGAGTCTTAGACCATTGTTGTCAGAAGCTGTGTAGAGCCGTACCATTCTCCGCAAGGCGTGCTATCTCGACCAATGCGTTCTAGAATGTAACCTTTCACCTACACTGTATTTATATCTCACTGCGGATGGATGCGGAATTTTGATTTAGAGATTTAGGCAAATAAAAATAACACACATACGAAGATAACTGTCTTCTGAAATGTAGTCCAATAGAAGTTTACTGACATTTCAGAGGTGCTTGCTGCCTCCATAATCAGGGCTGTCGAATATCACGTGGGGTAGTGACAGATGAATATGCCCCAATGTGGGTTGATGGTTAACAGGGAGAAACCTAGAATTTGGAGAAGAAGGCTAATTATAGTGCTAGAACTGATATACTGGCGTTGCAAAATGGAAAATATGTGTTAGTGTGTTTACTAATTATTTTTTAATAATAGTAGTATCAGAAAAGAAATTTCTCTCCTTATGTGTCTTTCGGTCGTCTCTGAAATATACACCAAACTCTGCAGGAAAAAGCAGTAGAAATGGCTCAGAACTTCATTATTTACACTGTCTGTTTGATTTCCCTTAGGAAGAATTTAAACAGAGCTCGTGAGATTGGATTGAACTCGAAGGAAGTGGATGAAAAGCTTAACTTCTTTACGTCTCTACGTTTACGGTAAAAATCTTCAGTGAACAGGAGCGTATCTGTTTCCTGTAATAATTACAATTTAGTTTTCTGTATGGACGTTTTATATCGCAGAGAATAAAATAATTATTAAGATGTCTGTCTCTGGGTTGTAGCGCCGTGTAGTCTAATAGAATTTTCCCCACGTTTCAGAGGTCCATTCTGGGTCCATTATCAGGGCTACAACCCAGAAGACAGCCTTCTTCTTACTCACCGCCACGAGAACCTTAGAATCCGCAAAATAATTATTGCACTCAGTAAGCAGGGTTGAAAGAGTGAGTACTTTTCATGCGGGTTAAATATTATTAAAATATTTTATTTTAATACAAATTAATGCATTTATTACGAATGTTGGTAGTATTATATATCCATATGTAACTTGAATTGCTTCTAAAGATGACTTTCCGGATATCATCCGAGTCTGAACACAGAGACTGGTGATCCTGTGAAATTTCTTAATTCCTTTATAACACTTCTGGAAGAATGACTTAGTGTAGACATTGAACATTGCTATCGCCCATGAAACATTCGAAATAATTCCGCAGTTCAGCGTTGTATAGCGTCTAAGAATTAATAACGTTAAATATTTAAGTAATCGATCTATAGCTATCATGGCAGCGAAATTTTTGGAAAATTACTGTTACAGACTAGAAGATTTTGTTAGTTCTAATTCTGTTGTCGCTGAAATATAATTAATAAACGTATTTTCGAAAAATGTAAAGTACGAGTCCAATACAGACTGAGGTGTTGTGTTTTGTTTTTGTTCATTAAATGAAATTTACAGCGTTGCCAACTCTATTTACAATCAAGACTTTGCCTTCTACTATGCAACAGGGAAAACAGGCGAAGCAGCTGTTGTTTTAGGTCTGCACATTAATGATTTTTCAGCAAATATCACAGAACAAGAAAGAGAGAAAACATTTTAATAATTAGACGACTGAAGATGTAGATTTACATATATCCAAATGAGTAACTTAGTATTGATATTTATTTCATCTGTTGCAGGAGTGCCCAGAGGGGGTGGTACACGAAGACTCATTTAAGGACATTTACGCCAAATTCTTTCCACACGGAAGTGAGTACATAGTTACACGGCATGGATTATATTAAATCCGGGAATGTGAAATAGTGGTATGCTATAGTCTTTTGTTTGGAAGGTATACCTGATTCGAATCTCGAATCTATTACCGGCCATCTTCGCTATTAAGGTTTCCATTGTTTTCTGTAGCTTTTCTAGGCATTACTAGTTAATATTTCAAGCACCTGCCGCCTTCTTCCAAGCCCACATGTACTCCGTAATACTATTATATTGTAGATTTGAGAAGAATTTAATTAATTCAGATACTGCATACGTTTCATTTGACTCATATACTCGTAACCTAGTTTTGCACTGCTATAAGTTAATGTTTAAAAATTTTTACTTTCAAAGAATATTTTATACGTTAATTTATAATAATATTTATGTCCTATCTTCATATCAGATTTAAAAGATTTAGTAACTGACGTTAGTATTACTTCCACCTCACAGGTTCGCGCGTCTTCAATGCTGTTTTTGTTGATTTTAGAAAGTTAAAAGTACGAAGTTACACTAGCTCAAACTTTGAAAGAGGGTCATTAGACACATTTAAAGATAGAATTTTGATCACATAAGTGTAGTTTCTTTTCTTAAAAAAGGAAAGTAGGTCAAAACTGCACTTGATTTATATTTACGGATGTAGTTTCTTTTCTTAAAAAAGTAAAGTAGGCCAAAACTGCACTTGATTTATATTTACGGAGATCATATTTCGGGATTAAATTCAAATAAAATAACTCTTCACCCACGATTAATAGTAAAAGGTATCTTACTTACTGTATCTGTACTGTACGTTTCTTAACGGCACATAACTCATATTTTTTAAAGTTCCATACAGTGAGAAATTCAAATGGAATAAGAGCTGTTACTACTATATTGTTTAAAAAAAGCTACAAAGAAAGAAACTTTAAAATTTGAATTTCAGGTGAAGTTTTATTTCAATTTTTTTTGTTCGACTTTAAAATTACCAATAAAACTCAATACTATAACAGTCACTTCAATTTTAAAGTTGACTACGCGTAAACTAAGGGATTACTTCGATTGCTAAATACAGAGAGGATTTTACTTAGGATTCAGAACTGTCTTACATTATTTCTTCTTGTCTCGTTTGTTTTCCTCTTGTTCATTTCACCCAGTCTCCCTCGCTTTTTATTTCAAAGCTCTCAGCAAAGATTTACAGAAACACGGTCCGTTTCGAAATGCGATTACTTCATTCTATTGTCTGCTATTTTATGTGGAAGTGCCTCGGCGTCTACTATGAAGGAAATTTCTTTTGAAGTTTGTGAAAATACGCCCCTGGTCGTCTCTGCTCACAACAGAAATCACATCCGATCATAATACACATTCTATGTAGAATGAGAGGGTTCGTGTCTTCGATGTGTTCTTGTGAAGAGTTCGTTGCCCTAGAAGTAGCAACGAAAATTTTCCTGATCTGTGCCGTAGCAAAGGCAGTTAGTCCTTGGTTTCTTACAGCGGATAAACGAGTTCCTTCGCAAGGGCGAAGTGTATGTGGTGTGAAAAGTAGCACTGGGTATCATCTGGATTACGGACAACGGGCCCGTTAAAAGCGACGCTTTATAGAGACGTAGTATTACCATATCGTAACAATAAAAAAGCTGTATAAAGTGAAGCTGATTGTACGCTGGACGTACTGTTAAAATGTAATCAGTTTCTTTAATATTACACGAAAATAAGGTACCTTAATCCTTCGATTATAAAATTATGTTACTTATTAGCGTTTTTTATTCCTGGCGAAGCTAAATGTGACTACCTAATAACAGAAATTACACTTTACCATGGTAATGTAATATATAATCCTACTAACTAGAAAATTTTTCTTTGAGTAGGATTGTCAGAAAGGGTAAAGTATACTTAGGAATAGAGCTAACATCAGATATCAGATTTCGAATAGTACTTAAGAGAAGAATTTCAAAAACAAATTTTGAAAAATAAATTGCAGATAATTTCTCATATCCGTTGCTTGTGACAAGGGACGCCATATTTACTTTCAACCTGTTAGAGTTTTGTTGTGTTGGTTTCTTATGCATGTAGTCGTTTTATAATAATTTATGACACATTAAAGTCTGTAGGAATTTATAATAAGATCAGCAAATCGGTCATGAGCAATTACATATTGAATGAATGAATTAATGTTTCGTAAAATTTACCATTAAGTCTTGTAATAAAACGAAACTGAAAAGATTTATTAGTCACACAATGCATTCTAACTAATTAACTCAATAAAACAATGTTTATTGAGAGACTAAAAGTAGCTGATAGCTAACACATTATAAGCGTTCACGGTACTGACAGTTCAATGCCGTACTTACAAGAGACCTCCCACGACGGTGTCATGACCCAGATGTATCCAGTCCATATCCTTAATCTAAATAACTTAAATATTTATTTTAATATTATCCTCCCATATATGACTGGGTCTTCCAGATGGCCTCATCCATTCATTTTGCCTAGAATTTTGTTAATAAGTGACTCATTTTTGTGTTTTCCGTGCCTTGCTATAGGTCTATGATTAGAAACTTTAATTTGATTTGATCAAGCTAACGTTTGACGAAATTTACAAATTGTGAAGCTCTTCATTGTGCAGTTTCCTCCAGGCTTTTATTTCTTAGAAGTTAGTGAAACTATTATAAAGTAAAGTTTGTCCCACTATACGCCATGTAGGCGCTTGGGGTGAGCGGAGGTATAGCTCCTCTCTTCCTTGACCTCGGCACTAGATGGGGGTGAGTGGTCGGCATCACGCCCCGGCCGGCTTTACCCCCGGCGAAGGACACCGGTACCTATTGGACAGGGATTGGGTGGGCCCCAGAGCTGGTCTCGAGGCAGAGGGTAGAGGAAAAATCCTCTGCCCCCGTCGGGGATCGAACCCCGGTACTATAAACTAGTCTAATGGCATGCAAAGTCAATTGTGGGTGAGATAAGTCACTGTTACAGACATCATGAATAGTGAACGAGAACAGAAGATAAATAAAGAAATAGAATGGGAGAGGAGAAGATTGAAGTCAGGATATAAGTTATACCTGACAGTGCTGGAAAAGTAGCAATTAGGTCTTAAGCAAAATAAACGGGGTTGGAAGTTGTCAGTATTACAAAATGCGACACAAGAAGTGGGTTTTGGGAAGATCAGAATAGTTTTATTCTCGTCTGCGCATTTCTTTCCACCTTATAATGACATAAATTATGCCGAAGAACACTTTGACGGAACAGTCGTGCGTGTTTCATGTCAGCGGCAGACCTTGAGTTGCCAGTTACAAACTGCCAGTGGCTATAGAGAGCCGAGGCATGGGACAGGTTTGTTGATATTGCAGTCCGCAGGCTCCTTAACAGCAGGCTATCATAAAAAAATAGTGTTTTAAACATGTGGCCCACGAACCGCTGTCGACCCGTAGCTTGTAGGATTTGAAGTTGTCACGGCGGTGTCTGAAGTTGGCTGTCTTCTGGGTTTTTGCGCCTTGTAGTCCTGTAGAAGTTTACCGACGTTTCTATCATCAACTTCTACCAGGCTACACGGCGCAACAACTCAGAAGACAGCCATCTTCGATTCGTATCTTAATTTACCCAGGGCCGCAAATATTAATTGTCGCATTGTATTTTACAAGTGACTAACTTGCTAACTCCATAGTGCTGAATCCATCTTGGAAACCTGGTAGGCCTAAATCGTTTACCTGGTCTACAAATTTTCCGTCTCTTGTGGAGCCTTAAAATCCATTACCGTGTTTACAAAAAGCGATCATTGGTTTTTATCTAGAGCAGTGAATCCAGTCAAAATTTTCACATCCAAACTCAAACTTCTGTAAACTTTCTTCCTGTGGGCTCTTTCCTTCAGGGTTTATGACAAAAATGTTGAATTTCTCGTTAACTCACAAAAGTGCTGCACTGCCGAAATGGAAAATTACAATTTCTTGTTTCCTTTCAGCGACTAAAAAAGTCAGTGTCAAACATTACTTCACATTCTTTTGCTTTTCCTTTAATGACAGTGAGGAAAATAACACAATATTTTGCAACTGACGACTTCATCTCTCGGAAATTGGACCTTTAAGCCACGGAAGGGGAGGGGGGGGGGCGACGGATATATTCGCCGTGGCTTTTAACTGGGAATGTTTAGTGCGGTCATTGTGAAACCTCTTCGATTCTAATGATTCTTGTTGACTTTAGGTTTTATATAACATAAAAACCTTTATCCGTGCTGATGGCGGCTGAATTTTCGAAGTTTCTCAGCATGTATTATCACGTGCTCTCATGGACCAATCATCTTCAGTCACTTGTTGTACGTTCATTCTGGTAGTAATGTTATTCGTGTTATATGTAAATATTGTGTTTGCGTAAAGCAAATTGTCTGTATTCAGCGCTGAAGTATTAAAATACGGGAGGTGAGTGTTGCAATGAGCTGGTTTATAAAGTATTCGGTAATTTAAAGAATGAAGCAGACGAAATTTATCTCAGAATTTCTTGTGCCGAGCTTATTAACACATTCGCTGATACGCCTGGGGAAGTTTTGACGCAGACTTTGCGTTTAGGAATGGAATATGGATGTTCGTGATAACATTAAAATAAAAATGCGGATAACGAAAGCGCTTATAACGGGGGTCACTTGCACTTAGATTATAAGATTTTTTGGCAGCTACTTGATTTATGTTTCTGATAATTGTTTCTGTACGAAGACTTAAATGAACGCATAATCGGGAAATGTCAGTGGACATGCTGTATTTATGCAAGTACCAAAGATAATTCTCGTATTTGAGGCATCAGAATTTAGTTTTAGTTTTCTTTAAATATTCTGTCACATTTTTTACATTTGAATTTATTTGTCCCTCGGACCTGCGTCATTGCTTGGGGATACAGAAATGCTTCAGTTTAATGCCGCATTTGTCTTATTGCGCGCGAAACATGGATAAAACACTCAATCACGAATTTTATCGCGTAAGAGTCCGTACTTATATCCCAAGCCTTTGTTTTTGTGTTTTCTCGAAATCCAATTTGTTTCTGTCGTTAAAGTTGGGGTTGTAAATCTTGCATGACGCACGTAAAAGATGCTAATCTACCGAGAAGCGCTTTTTCACGTTTGTGTGTCTCTTGTCGGACAATTTCGGTTTCTGTTCTAACACTTTTCGCGATTTAGGTAGTTTTTTTACTTATCGCTAAATTTGCATCTTTCGTTTACTTCTTTGTTTCATTATGCATGTTTCCCTTTCTCGTCGATCTACTTAATTTTCTGACCCGTTCCTTATATCCTCTATCCTCTTCTACCTTTTTTTCATTTTTCCCGTCTTTCTTACTATATTTAACGCTTTTATTATCGCCAGATAATTTATTTCGTCGAGTGTTTGATGTGCTGTTTACAATTCGCAGAGCGTAAGTGCTTTGTTTTGTGTGTGTGTGTGAAATTTGTCTGTCACTTCGAGGAGTGAATAAATATTGATGTTACTCGCAAAATAGGCACGGAAGGAGCTGAAAGGATGGAGTATTTGTACGAACAGCGAACGGATAATATAAAGTATGATGTGTCCTTATCTTAACCCCTTGAAATCCAGTGGTAACTATACCATGTGTTTCCTTAACAATTTATAATTCTGCAGAATATACGAATTCATATTTGAACACACTTTTTATCTTTTCATTGATGGGATTAAGAAAGTAGCATATACAAATTAAAATCATTTTGCTGTGTTGTATAGAAATTCGTGTACACAGCAGGCCATGGATGAGTTAACATATGAACATTAAAATCAAGTAATGCTTTATGACAAAGTAGTTAGTCATTTCTTATCTGTGCTTAATTAACCCTAAATTGTGGATGTGCGTGTACATATTCGGCCATGGAACAGCCAACCAACCAACCTAGCCTAACCTAAAAATTATCACATGCCCGTTATAAGCTATAGATAGATACTCAACCCTCTTGTTACTATGCCCGGATACTTTTCTTAAGGCTGTATTAACATTTAAATTAGTCGCAGGAAGAAGAATAATTATTCACAGATGTAGGCTTGATAGACTTATCCTGGTCACGAAATAATGTTGGACACCCGTTGTTCAGAACGCAAGACAGACCTAACTTCTGTGCTCGTTATAAGTGTTCGTCTAATGAGGTTTCTTTTGTTCTGTCCATAACAATATCGAGCTTGATAATGTGACTCTCTCCATCTCCCAAATGAGTCTTCTATCTCTCTCTCTCTCTGGATATGCGCCTGCTGATAACGAAGTTTCGAAGTGGATTGGGGCTATGGCAGTTCTGTAGGAGCCCGGCGTTCTTGACGGTCTGGTCATTTGGTTGTGGCACGAAGCAGAGGGAACAAGCGAGAAAAGCCATCCACAAGATGTGCACTGAAAATGGCTGTCATCTGGGATGTTTATCCGTGAAGTCTAGTAGAAATTGACAGACGTTTCAGTCGTGCTTCTTGCCTCCAGTTTCTAGGCGATTGCAGTCGTAAATTCGCGGGACACAGGTTGAGAAACACTGAAATAGGTTATCACTAGACCAGGAGGCCCTGAAAGGTTCTGGTTCCGCCCCAGTATGGCAGGAAGCCATGTTTAACATGTATTTAAATTAGCTGTAAAAGTTAGCACGTGTTGATATAGCCCTGTGTTGGGTACAAGCTATTTGCATTTTTGTTTGGATATGAACGTTGCAATTAATGTTCAGTTTGTGTGACTTTCCAATTAATTTAGGACAGGTTATGAATACACATAACTTTGATATTGTGTATAATTATTCATGAACGTTAATATTGGTTTAGAAATGTCGTCAAAATAAAGAAATACCTTTGGTAAGCCGTCTTGAAATACGATGAAAAAGTTTCCGGCTTACAACACACTGCACATATTTTTTACAATTGTTTTGCGTAAAACAAAGGTTGTTTGAAAGAACATTTTACGTGGAATACAGACGAGGTTAAGTGCAATTGTAAAATGAAATAGTTTTTGTGTGTTTGTAAATTAATTTTATTACTTCTTTCCTTTCTCTGCACGAGTTATATTTCCTTCAGTCTTTCATCTTGAATGTCCAGAGTAACATTCGAAGAAAATGTGATAATGTAACTTGTGTATCACAGTTTTGTCGAGTGCAACACGAAACGTTGGTTTTGAGTGTAGGATTTCTGGTGGTATTCGGAAGTTTTCTTGATATGGACGAAATTTTAAGCTCTCGCCGTTGAGTGTATGATGATGACTGTCTTTTGTGATTTAGGGTCAGTTAATCTCGTAGAAATTGACCGACGTTTCATGCATGCTTTCTGCCTTTGTCATCAAAGCGACAGTCGCGTTGTTTGGGTTCTATAAAATGCGATTAATTGCTTGGCTACTGTATGTTGGCTTCTCAGAAA